AAATTCGCAATATAAATGATTGTTGGGCAAAAATAACGTGTCACTCTGATGAGACGACCTAAGCAAGGCAAACCTGTAATCCTGCCTCATTATTATTTCATTGTCGAGCAACAACCCATTTCCCTTACGCACACCATGGCTCCATCTCCGAGTGATCCACCAACTCAACTCTGACCCTCTCTCAATGAATGACATTGCCCATTGCCACCGAAGCCGGCCCCGTTCATCTGGCCGTGTGCCTCTCAGCCACGGCTGCCTGTCCCTCTGCGTCTGCATCTGCCCGTGTCTGCTTATCTTTCTGTCTGTCTGTCTTTGCCTGCGACTACCTGCTGGTCTGCTGGTCTGTCCGTCCGACTGTGTCCGTGTCTGCCTGCCCCCATCTTAGCCACCAGTCCGCCTGTTTATTTCGCTCCCCATCTGTCTTCCTGCCCGTCGTTTTACACATTTTATTCAACCTTTGCCCGTCCCTAATTGCCCCCCACCCCCCACCCCGCGCCATCAAGCTCGCCCTTATTCATTTCACCCACCTCCCACCGATTCGCCTCCCGGCGTCTCTCCACTTCCACCAAACTCGACCCCCCAAACCACCCCCAGCGCGCTTTCCTGACTCCTCCGCATCGCCCGCTTCGAGGAAGCGCCGCTCCGGCTGCGCATCGTCGCCACCCACCACCCAACCACCACCGCCCACCACCTCCACCTCCACCTACCACCCACCACCGCCCACCGCCACCACCCACTACCTCCACCTACCACCACCACCCACCGCCACCACCCACCACCTCCACCACCCACCGCAACCACCACTCTCCACTCTCCTCCGCCCACACGCGCGTCCCACTTTATCCGCCCGCCCGCTGTCCGACCACGAAGTCGTTTCGTGAACGCGCAGTCGCTCTGCCCGCGGCCTCTCAGTGTGTGGGGCGGAGGGGGAAGGTCAATGGCCAAGTGAGCTTTCACGTCCACGTGCACAAAGAGAAAATAAACAAAAGACTAAAAGCCCCCCCCCTCCCATCCCCGTGTAGCCTGTAACATACTGTAGGGGCGAGTGCTGTTAGCGAGTAGCACCCTATGAAGGCCGGCACGGCGCACATACTTCCAGAGATGTCGTGTACATCACGGCAATCTGCCAGTGGGCACGAAGCATGAGACCAAAACGCGCACAGCGCGGTACACACGGATAATAGTACTGTATTTTATTTTAATGAAATATACACCTGTGTGGTAGACATAATAGCCTATTATCATCTGCATGTTAAAATAAAAAAATAAGTGAAACACACAATATGCTAACCTTGGCTGTTTTCCATAATTCAATATTAAGACGTAAATTAGACAGAATTGCCTATTTAAGTATGCGTCCCATCGGATGGCCTCAAATAGGCACGCTTATAAATCTTTTAACTTTTCCTCCCAATACCCATTGGGCAATGCGTGCACCAAAAAAAAAATTAAAGCCATTCATTGTGTTTAACACAATCGCTGTCCGGCCACTGCAAAGCAGCAGGGATAATCCGGGATAACCCGAGGACTTTACAAACGTGTCAGCTCAATCTAACAGTGCCAATTCAATCCTAAGGTTCAAAGGGTGCAGCCCTGCAAATGCGCCACAGTGGCGAGATGTTAACTACCTCGCCTGGTATACAGCAGCGAGTCGTGGGTTTCGACCCTGACCCCTGTACATTTGGAGCTTGCCGGTCTCTCTCTCTGGGTCCTCCGGCTTTTCCCTCCACAATTAGAAACGTGCGTTTAGAGCATTCGGCTGCTCTACATTTCCACGCGATGAGCTCCTTCATTGAGCTATCAGTTGTGGCCAGGTCGCTTCTGAAGAAAAAAAAGGCGATATTACTCAGTGGGCTTTACCTGGTAAATAAATGAAAGGTAACACCTCTAGATCTTGACTTAAAGCTTTCGTAAGTGCAGGAAATCATATTCCTTACCGAAAGTCACTAAGATAGGTTCAAATACATTTTTATTTGAACCTATCTCCGTGACTTGACCGAAAGTCACTTAGGAAGAAGGGAAATAATAAAATAATAAAAATTTAACTATACAATTCTCACGACTTTGCTGTGGTATTTTATTATTTCCCTTCTACGTGACTTTACTGAAAGAACCAAGAATATGAATCCCTGCAGTCACGAAAGCTTTAAATCGAAATTTTACATTATTATTAATAACCCTGTATGACTATCCCAATGATCAGTGTGTAATCAGATTACTGTTACTTAGAGCGTACAATTGCCCCGCTATTTATGATGACCTTACATGCAGTTGTTGTTTTATTCGAAGATTCCAAAAAAAACAATCGTCAGGTAGAAACTATAGAGCATTATCTTGGCTTCATGAAGGGACCACAACAGCTGATGTGCGTTAGATAACTATTGTACACTGTCTACTTTCGGAATGTAATGCTGTGCTGTTATTTTTGTGCATTTTTTTATAAAAGTAGCCAAATAAATCACAGTGACTCAATCACATTACTTTGAAGGTGCAAAACACTAGCTTACAACGCATTATACCACCACAACCTTCGAGCCGTCAATAGTCGCACGCAGTGTACGGTTTAAAAGTTACCCTCTTAGAATCAGTGGCGATGCAGGGGGGCATGAGCGAAGCAAGAAAAAGTTAATGGGCACCAAGTGGCTCAAGGGGCCTTGGAATCACGAAACAAAAATAGCGGACGAACCAATTATCAGCAGCGCAAATTTAGATCTTAATGAGCGAGTCAATTCACATTAGAAAACCGAATTAACCTTTCTGAAGTCTCCGTCTACGTCTACGTCTCTCTCTCATGCCACGACATTTATATCTCATCTTCGCTCGTAGTATTTCACCTCCAACTGCTGTCTGCATTTTCCTTCCATCTCGCTGCATCTCCAGTCTCTTGCCTACATATATATAAAAAATCCCTGGTGTCATCTCACAAGGAGTTTAAACCTCGAGCCAAAGCCACCACCGCCGGTTGCAGCGTCCTTTGGTCTGCCGCTTGTTTGAATTTGTGGACAAACTCGCGGTGGAGAAGCCGTGACCTCATGCAGCGTAGCAGAGGGCGCGTGGGCTTTTGTCGGTGGCGACGGAAAACCCAGGGTTCCTTGTTGCTGCCTCCGCTGCTGATCGATTCATTTGTGGAGGCGAGGGGAGTGACGGGGGAGGAGTAATACCGCAAAGTCGTTGCGGATTGACAGGGCGGCGATTAAACTTTCCGTTAAATATCATAAAAGGTCATTCTCGGCGAAGGAGATGCAGGGGCCAAGGAACACAGTCCAAGTCGCCGCCAACGCCGCAGAGCGTCTCCTAGCGCCGTCCTTCAAACGGGGGACGGTGACTGCACTGAATGATTTACACGCGGCGACAACGTCATGGCAATAATTACCAGAGGTGCTTGCTTTTATACTGCGCCCACGATGTTCACGAAAAGTCTTGGAGCGCAGCTTTCCTCCGCTAAAATACCGTCCGGTGGCAAACACTGGTCACACACTACATAGGCAGAAAATGGTAAGATATTTTGTTTTAAGCGGTGGCCAGGTGGCTCAGAGGGCACAGCGCTGAGCTTGGCACAGCCGAAGCCCTGGGTTCAAATCCAGACGGCAGCCTGCGATTAAACCACGTTCTCAAGTGTAGCAAATTGATGGTTTCAGTCCGGTCACCAATGACCACACACACACACACAAACCCAGCGCATTTAACTGTTTTGCACTTAATTTGGTGAGAAACATCAGTTATGGATAATTGAATTGTTGGTTTCACTGCCATACCACAAATACGTCTCTATAGGTTTGGAGAAAGTACACCCCTAGTGTGTGTGTGTATAGAAGAGGGCACCTGAAAAGATCTCAGCAGCGGTTCTATGACATTTAATTCTGGGGGTCATTCTTCAAAACGTGGGGTAGAAACACTGTAATTTACCGCGTGGGCCAGAGGTCACTTGAAGGGATCTCAGTGGTAACTCTGTTATATCCACTTCCTTTGGCCGTTGTCTAGGACGGAGAGTAAGTTGCATCGTCCCACAATAATCCGAATGGATCATTGATCTCATGACACGAGGCCGATAGCACAAATCGGAACAAAACTGGGGGGATAGATGACAAAAAAATGAAAGTCTTCATGTAACCACCTACTTTTCTAGCACTAAAAAACGTATATAATATGCATTTTCATTGAGGTACTGATTCTGTGAAGTGTCATTGCGCTTGAGATGTTATAGAAGAGGGCGGTCAAAAAATATGCAATCCCATTCCATACCTCTCAGGCATCCCACTTTAAAAGGACGTCTGGAAAAATGTTTCCCAACCATTTGGATCACGAAGTCAATTTCAAGTGGTCGTATCTTAGGTTACACGTAATTTCCCATGAACAGAGCTAAATGTTAAAGGAAATAGCGGCGGGTTTTTTTTTTGCTGAAAGTGACGATCATCTGTGAAAAAGTTGTCATGTTCCCATCTCATTAGTCTTAGGAGCTTGCCTTCACGTCTTTTCAAGCCCTTACGCTAAATGTAATATATTTACTTACATATAATGATCACAGAGGCCCATCTGGATCAAAGCACTGGGTGAGAGAGACGCATCTGGATCAAAGCACTGGCGAGAGAGACCTCACGTGTGCAGGTGCAAGCCTTGGACAGGTGCCCGCAAGCAGCACTTGCCCCAACAGTCTGTTCAAGGCTACATGGGGGATCTTTGCCTTTAGTGTAAGCGGTTAGCGCTACGCTGCGCTACGAACCCGGCGGCCCGAGTTTGATTCCCGCTCACGGGCTAACACCGGTGACGATTATCTGAACCGGTCCTGGGCCTCCCCTAGGTCGACTCGGCCTCAAACGACTACCTGGTGCGGTGTGTAAAAACATCGCCACTGGGGTGGCAAAGGGGGTCGGGCGTGCTGTTGGCCACCCACCCCCTCGTGTGCCGTGCCGGCCTTCATAGGTCCTCGCTAACAGCACTTGCCCCAACAGTCTGCTGAAGGCTATAGGGGGGATCTTTGTCTTTTGTTTCGCGTGCAACAGCGTCGATAGTCGTGGGCAAGTGGTGGTGCGAGATGGATCCGTGTTTGGAAGGCGAGGAGTGCAAGACTCTCCCGGACAACTCTGGCTGGATGTGCATAGCTGGAAACAAAGTCAAGACGACACGGGTGAGCGGATCTGCCCTGGCTGCAGTCACACGCATCTCACACACACCCCGCACACACACACCCCACACACACACACCCCACACACACACACCCCACACACACACACCACACACACGCCCCACACCCCACACACACACACCCCATACACACACGCCCCACACACACGCCCCACACACACCCCACACACACACACCCCACACACACCCCATACACACCCCACACACACACACCCCACACACACCCCACACACACACACCCCACACACACCCCATACACACCCCACACACACACACCCCACACACACCCCACACACACCCCACACACACTCCCCACACACCCACACACACCCCACACACACCCCCACACACACACCCCACACACACACCCCACACACACACCCCACACACCACACACCCCACACACACACCCCACACACACCACACACACCACACACACACACCCCACACACACCACACACACACCACACACACACACCCCACACACACCCCACACACACCCCACACACACCCCACACACACCCCACACACACCCCACACACACCCCACACACACACACCCCACACACACCCCACACACCCCACACACACCCCACACACACCCACACACACCCACACACACACCCCACACACACCCCACACACACCCACACACACCCCACACACACACCCCACACACACCCCACACGCACCCCACACACACCCCACACACACCCCACACACACCCCACACACACCACACACACACACCCCACACACACCCCACACACACCCCACACACACCCCATACACACACACCCCACACACACACCCCACACACACCCCCACACACACGCCCCACACACACGCCCCATACACACCCCACACACACCCCACACACACACACCCCACACACACCCCACACGCACCCCACACACACCCCACACACACCCCACACACACCCCACACTCACCCCACACACTCACCCCACACACACCACACACACCCCACACACACACCCCACACACACCACACACACCCCACACACACCACACACACCCCACACACACCACACACACCCCACACACACCACACACACCCCACACACACCCCACACACACACCCCGCACACACCCCACACACACACCCCACACACACCCCACACACACCCCACACACACCCCACACACACCCCACACACACCCCACACACGTGCACAGGCCGAATGTTTGTCTCGTCCGCCGTTGGATCAGGGGCCTCCTTGCCAAACCGTGTGGGTTATGGAGGTAATCGTCATAGTATTTTCACTATGCCAGTCAGTGCCGGTTGGTTGGTGAAGGTAGGGGGGGAGCATATACGTTGGAGCAATAGTACAATACAACGTCGTATTTGTTGCTGCGCCCGCCCACTGCGTTCTTACCCGCCCTTACTTCACAGCTGCAATAAAGAGCTTCATAGCTCATCGGATTCCTCAAGTATAAATACTGTACATACTCTGAATTCGTGAGCTTGCAAGCCAGCCTTGGGGTCTGGGGCCCTCGTTGCGAGTTTAAATAGTCACGTCATGAGCCATGTGGCGCAGAGTCTCTCTCTTTTAAGTGATAACATTAAAAAAAAACACGGCTTCTGTCATTGGTTGGATCCACGCGATGCCTTGTATGACGTACGGAAATGTGTGTAGGGCGCGATTAATTTCTTGGACTTGTTTTTCCAACTAGCGCCGCTGCGAAACAAACGCTGCGCCAAAGTTGAACGGATTTGTATAAATATCCCGGCGCAAGACGCTGCAGAAAATGAGAAATCCATCATTTATGAGGGTGGCCGCTCCCGTACGATGGATGCATGCACGGGTTATTAAGTGCGTTCGGATTTTTAGGTGAATTGAGCTACAGTGGGGGGGGAGGGGGAATATTTTGCACACAAAGCACCGATATCAATATCATCTGGGGGCTGGGGGTGATGGTTATTGCATTCTTTCTACGTTTCACACTGCATTGTAAAGATTGGTTCATTTCCCACTGACGGTTATGACACAGAAATCCTTTTGATTCGTTTTGCTGGTGCGGAATATTAAATTCCAAACCGACAGAAAAAGTTGGCACCGTTCTCCTCTCGCACGTTAAAACAACAACAGCAACAACAACAACAACAGCAACACGAGGAGAGACCCGGGTTGTTTTAATCTCAAAACCAAAACAAACAAAACCACGTGATCAAGCTCCACGCAACGCACACATCTGAACAACGGCTGCTCAATGCCGCCTCGCCTCCGCCGACCACTCAGCTTTAATGCGTTTCCTATTAACTTGCAGGGGTTGGTTGACCACGTTGTGGTAGATCCACGGTGTGGCGGTCCCATTTAAAATGGGAAAGAAAGCGCAAGACACTCTGTGGGGACTGTTGTTAGGAAGGGTAGGAGGGTGATGAATAGATGTCCATCACTGCTAACTGTTGTGTGTGTGTGTGTAAAAAAATGGCATAAGCACTCAAGAATGTGTTGGCTACTAAATATAGTGTTTAGCAAACGAAACTCCCTGTCAGTTTAACACGCAGGCTTTCGAGATCAATATCATCCATAATACATGGCCAATCCGTTACGAGTACAGCACACCGGTGTGTTGGAGAGCAAATCCACAACATTTGCCGGGTGGTACAAACAGCTGAAAATGAGCATGTCATTTAAATACTTTCCTGGCAAATACCGAAATGTGCGTTCACATCTCAGAGCCACTTGTGATGAGATCGCGGAATGAGTTTCAGGTTATTTGCAAGGCCATTATCTCATCATTACCATCAAAGTATGCGTGGTCATCATATCATCATCTAAATGACACCGATTCCTGTGAGCCATGAAACAGACCATGGAGCATCTATTGGTGTCTCAGCTCCTTTGGGTACCATGCACCATGACATGACCTGGCCAAAGCTTCAGACTGGACGGTGTCGTCATCATCGTCATCATAATCAATCTCATCATCATCATGTGCCTGATTCTGGATAACCATGTGACTGCAGTGACAGGACACGAGAAGACGATGATGCAATCGGCATCACCATAACACCACCACCATCATCAACAATTGTCTTGATCTTGATTTAAAGCTTTCGTGACTGCAGGGATTCATATTCTTGGTTCTTTCGGTAAAGTCACGTAGAAGGGAAATAATAAAAATATAAAACATCTGACCAACTGCCAAATCGCTGTCCGTGGTGCTGACGTTATGAAAAAACCGCCACTTTTTTCAAATTGTCTTGCTGTGGATTTCACACCTGATGATGATTGCTTGTGTTGCAGTCGAAACGTCGTGAGAATTTTATTGTTTTATACTTTTATTAATTTTTTATTTCCCTTCTACGTGACTTTACCGAAAGAACCAAGAATATAATTGTCTTGATCGTCAACTTTTTTAACTGCGGTGGTGGTGACTGCGCAACATTGCATCGTCTTACAATCGCTTTCTCACTTAATACGGTCGAGGGCCAACACGAGTCTCACGGCTTAGAAACGGCCCACAAATAATATGTATCCACCACTACTGGCATCACTTAGTTGCACTGATGCAAAGTTGCAATTATAAAATTATCCTTGTTGCTCTGTATCAACAGGCACACGAAGAACAGGATGCTGCAATAATCTGATATGAGGAGTGACCCATGATCGTTAATCCGAGTTGTGATGTTGATAAAATGTATTAATTATGTGGAGACACGAATATGCTAAGAAGGCATTAATGTCCGGTTATTTATTTAGTTGCGTACATTCTCCATAAAGGATACTCAAGCATTAGTATGAATCCTTGCAGTCACGAAAGCTTCAAATCCAGAATTGATACTCAAGCAGTATTATTTAGTGCTGTGAATTATATAGTTTCGCGTCGAACAACGCCCCACGTCTAGCGGAGGGGCACTTTCCTCGATAAAAAAACAAACATCGGGCAACTCACCAGGATCGGTCGAAGCAAGCCTGGCTCTACTGACGAGACACGAAATGTAAAAACCGGTCTAAAGTTTGCTTGCTACGCAACCAATGCTGGTGATAAGATGCACTTACAAAATGCCACGTGGCCAATGGGAATAAGAAGAAAATCCATGCATTTTTTTACGTGGAAAAAAACTACGTGTGGATGGAGGGGTATTGTCCGCTCATTTATTTTGTAACTCGTGTCCTGCACAATGACGCTCGATGACTATTGTACATTATAACGATAATAGGTTATTATTACGTGTTATACTTATGACAGATGATGATTGATTCGGGTGAACCACTCTTTACAGAGCGTGGAGGGGGCACTGTGTAGTGTTGGCTTCGAGAGGTCTATTCAAATTAACGGCACCGCAGTGAAATTGTGGCCTTGCAACCAAAAATATGGACCATATACGCAACCCGCTGTAGTCCGCGCTCCTTCAACAGAAGAGGAGAAACAGCAACAGTCCACAAACCCTCTCTTCTTGGTTCTTTCGGTAAAGTCACGTAGAAGGGAAGTAATAAAATAATAAAAATAAAACATAATAAAATTATTCTCACGACGTTTCGGCCACAACGCAAGTAGCCGTCCTCAGGTGAAAACCAGGTTTGTCGAGGCGACAGCGTCTGAATGAAACAGCACACGCGCTTGGAGCGTGTATATATACCTGGTTTTCACCTGAGGACGTCTACTTGCGTTGTGGCCGAAACGTCGTGAGAATAATTTTATTATGTTTTATTTTTATTTTTTTATTACTTCCCTTCTACGTGACTTTACCGAAAGAACCAAGAAGATGAATCCCTGCAGTCACGAAAGCTTTAAATCCAAATTTTATTATGTTTCATTTTTATTATTTTATTACTTCCCTTTTACGTGACTTTACCGAAAGAACCAAGAAGATGAATCCCTGCAGTCACGAAAGCTTTAAATCGAAACAAACCCTCTCCTGAAGCCCTCTCGTCGTGACGAGCAGCAGACCTCGACACTGGCATTCAACTCCTGAACATATTGCCATCATACGCAATGGTAGAACCAATAGGCTCCACTGAGGGCGGCTCCCGAGTACTTCTGCAGTGTCATCTTCCGCGGGTCTCATGACCGAAGCGACGGCCAGAGATACCGCGAACAAACGGCAGGCGTTCCGCCGTTACCCCAATTTCAGCGAGCTCAACACAATCTCCGATAACAGAACGGTTGTGATGCGATTAGTGATATTAAAAAAATGCTAAATCAATTGTACGCTTATAAATATTTTTAATACGTTTTCAAAAAAGATCTAAACGCAACGTGCAATTTTATACCCAATGAAAACTCGGATTTACAAGCAGAATGTTTTTTTTTCATAATCAGCGCTCTTCACAGCACAAGTGTGGACGCCCACGTACGAGCGGAAATTAGTCGCAGAGCGCTGCCTCATTAACACCGGCGGTGTAAAAGACGCCAGGCTCCATTAGGCGAGGGGGGGCAATTAAACACAAAACACATTTTGAAGTCTCCATTCGGTGGAGTAAGGGAGCGTTGTTGTGTGGCATTTAATGACCAAGTAGGTGAAGCTTGTACCGACTTTTGAAAGGATGCGTTTGTTGTCAATTGTTTGACGTGTGTACAACGTCGTTTCATCTCGCGTCTGCGTGCGATTTTGTTTTTTTTGTATCTCCCTTCAGTTTTCCGGGTCCTGATCTTTGGAGAATTAACCACCCTTGTCTGCACGGTGATCAACAACAACAACAAGAGCAGCAACACATTGCCGCAGATGGTAAAATCATCACGGGGAAAGAAAAAAAAATCAAGCACAATATACAGCGCGCCAATTATATAATAACGATATAGGATGTATATAACCGCGTGGTGAAATAATGAAATTAGCACTCACTCCGGCAAGGACGACGTCGGCTGTTGACACATCGAGAGCCGACACAGCAGCAGCAGCAGCAATAAGTAGCAGAGCAGCAGTAGCAGCAGTAGTCGCGTTCACGTCACGGACAGCAACACAATTCAGAAGCAGCAGTAACGTCGCAAATCAGTAACAAGTCATCGGCAACATTAGCGCGAGTGGTAGCATCGAACTTGGCAACAACGACAGCAGCAGAAACAACATTGACATGAGCAACAGAATCATCATCATCAACTACTGTACATAAGCAGAAGCAGCACCATCAACAGCAGCAACGGTGATCAACTATGTCAGTAGTGACAGCCACATCAATGAGCTGCAGCAGCAGCAACAACGTCACAAGCAACAGCGCAATCATGAAAAGGGAGCGGCAACTTTGGAAGAGGCAACGTAGGCATCATCAGCGTGGCACTGCGAGAGCACGCGGATTACACAACAACAACAACAACAAAAACATCGAGGAACCCTTTAAGTCGATGGGAGGTGGGAAAAAATGCGATTAATTGCGTAAAATTAAATCTGCGAGGCCGGGGAGACGGGAGTCTCGTGCCGTCGATCCCAGGAGAAGCCGTGACACCTGCGCACCCTCAGACGTTCTCTGAGCGCAAGTTTGGTTTTCTCTGTTTCCAGTTTCTCTGCGACAACGGATTACGGAACGGGGGGGTGGTGGTGGGTGATGGGTGGTGGGTGGGGAGAGGCGTCGCGGCGAGGGTGGGAGGGGAGGGCAACGTCTCTCCCAGTCCACCGACAAGATCACCGGGTGTCCTAAAACTCAACCGAGCTGCGGGCGTTTGGTGCGACCCGAAGCCTGGGCAGGACTTGCCTCTCTCCCTGCCCGCCGCCGCCCGACCCCGGGGTCCTCTACCCGAAACTCTGCGCGGTTTGAGCAGCAAAACGGTCCGCGAGTTTGTCTTGGTTGCGTTACACATTCCGTTTTAGTGTGCGAGTACAATTTAACCGGTTTTATATCCCGACAAAATGGAAGGGGACAGGCGGCGGGATGCTTGTGAACGAAAACTCACCAACCTCCCCCCCCCACCCTCACCCCCCCTTGCTGCGTATTCTCAACAACAACAACAAACAACAACAACAACAACATCTCTTCTCGTTTAAATATTGTTATAATTGGGGTGACAATTTCCCTCTTGATTTATTCCCATCGGTGTAAATATCTGCAAAGAGGAAGACTGAGCAAACCCCTTTAAGATGAAGTTACGAGGCATACATATTTCTGTTTTCTGTTTAACTCTCCGTAGCCTGTATACGACACGCGTAGGGTGAAGAGTGATTTCGTGCAAATGACATCAGTCTTTAGAGGGGTATTTTTTTTTGTTGGATTGTTTATTTTTAAATATGCGCCAACTTGTTCCAAAATGAGCGAAGCGAAAACGGGGTTGAATGTTTTACAAATGTGTGGATGATGTGAGTTGTATAAAAAAAACAAGCAAGGCTTTCAAAGCTAATGCCGTCGTTATTTTTGCCGACATTTTTTTTTTGGTTTCACCTTTTTTCATTTTCCCCTTCATTTAAAATTGCGCAGATGTTAAATTCGCTTTTCAAAAAAAAGTATCACTTGGTGATCGCCGAATCGTTTAAAATTCACTGAAGATGCGATCACAGCAAAGAACAGCAACTGAAAATGACAAAGAGTTTCAAGCACATTGTTCGATAAAAAAGAATGTATATTATTTTATCGTCATTGATTTATTTCTGTTGCTTTAAATGTGCTTTTCAAGACCGCCGTAACCTTCAGAGTATGACTGTAATGTCAAATGAGAGTTTTTCAGGCTGTGTGGTGACTCAAATGAACGTATTGTTACACACTTCCACAGGAGTCTCATTAACCATGCCCAGCTTCTGTGTAAAGCCCTCTCTCAATGACCAAAGTAGCTCGAGTTTTGCTATGTTCTTTTGGAAATTTAAGACAAAAAGGAGAGTCCGTTTCATGCTTAGACAGAAGGGAAATTCGAACTAATAATTTGGAAAGAAAAAAAAGTTCAAATTGCTGATACTTTTTTTTTTTTACAGATTCTACAAATTTTTCACCGATTTTGGTGGATCAACGTGTTTTGGTGAACACATTACACCGACAGACAGGCTCTCGATGAAAGAAAACTGCTCGCTTGCAATGCATTTGCTTAATGCTTATGGAGTGTGTGTGTGTCGACATTTGTGCGAATCATTCGCAGTGCTGCATCATTTAAAACTACGCGTGCAAATTACGCCACGGGAAAACAATACCTTTACCTACTAGCGACGAATAAGCATTAGGAGGTCTAAATAATCTTTAATTAGTAACAAGTAAAAGCGGGTATTTGGCCTACTCTTCCACGCTGGTCAGACATCTCGGAAGGAAGTGCGAATTACTCGCACTCTACCGCACACCGCAGACGACGCTGCCGATTGGCTAACTGTGGTGTCACCTATTTTCCGCCCCTCCGATTAGCACGCTTGGCTACGTACGGTGCGAAAGAAGTTTGACGTACCCTGCTTGGTGGACACAGGCGGGCGGGCGGGCGGGCGGGGGGGGGGCAGGATTTAAATAACACGTGTCGTTGTTTTTACTGCCGCACCAGGAGATTTCATCAAAATCGGTGACCACCGGGTTGCAAGTCCAGCGAGCTGCCCATTACACCACGGTAACATCCTCACTCACGTGTCTATCAGAGTACATTTGAACTGGACCAGCCAATGAGACGAGACGACAAAGCGGCTGGGTTCCATGAGACAAACCACTCCGAGTTCACACGTCTCGAAATCTCCCGCCCGACAGTAATTATGTTTATTCTCCATAATGGTTGAAATTGCTTTAATACAATCCAAGCTAAACTGCACAATGACACGTCCACTTAATTGTATTAAAATAAATTACTTATTAAATTGCATATAATTGGAGAGGGGTTTTTTCACATTCAAATAAATGCGGGCCACAGACCTCACAAAAAATATATTGTTGTAGTCCCAATTTTAGTCTTCCTTACCACAGTTTTCCCCATCACCATTCGTTCTAAAGGTCACACCCCTTGTTTTTAAAAAATATTATTCTTGGCTCGTTCTAATCACGAAACAATTAGATTTTTAAAAGTGGACACGCCAGGGCGGTAAAGGCTGCAGCAGCCCTTCGAATTATTGCTCATGCTACTGCCGATGAGAGGGCCTCTCCGGATGGAATCTTGAGACGATATTTGGCCCACTCTGACCCACACTGATCACATGTCTTGTAAGCGGTGAGAGTACTCACACTTTGCCCCATCGCCGCCACCACCACCACCATATGGGATCTACTGATCAAACTGTGGTGAAACCATTCATACTCGTGGTTGGAGACGTTACTCTTAGGTTTTTTCGGTAAATTCACGTAGGTGATGTAGGTACCTACATGAAATTTTTCGTGACGTAGGTACCTACGTGAAATTTTACGTGACGTAGGTACCTACGTGACTTTACCGAAAAAACCTAAGAGTAACGTCTGAATCCTTGCAGTCACGAAAGCTTCAAATCTAGAATTAAGTTGGAGACGTTGTTTCACCACCTGCCATCCCCTGGTGAGATAGAACCGACCAACTCTGGAGTATACAATCACGTGTACCAACCAGCAAAGTGTCACTGCCATGGTAGAATGGTCAGCAAACACACACACACACACAATGCTGCATCGCATGATAATTATACAGAAAGCCTCGGAGGCTTTTATTTCTTCATATTATTTGTACGGGAACGGAAAACACAAGTGCCCAGAAAATAAGAAAGCATTTAAGAGTGGAGGACGTTCAAAATTTCACGCACATTGCCTGTCAGAAACCGTACTGCTCTGCCGACTCCACAAAGGCACGCCGTTGCCTTGATCGTCGATGCCTGTCGCAATGGACGAATCTTTCGGTGATCAACGGCACCCACCTTGCAATGTACCTGGAACACACGGGCATGGCCACCCCTACCACAATTCAGCGAACAAAAAAAAATGTACGACATTTTTTGAGAACGTATTATTTAACATTTCTTCATAACAACAATCGTAGCATGAATATTTTTTTTAAACAATTGTTGCATAACAGAGTGGGCAAATATTGTTGTTTAACCACCACGTCACCGGTAAAAAAAAAAAATACGACTCTGTACGCTGCACTGCTCGACTTTGGAATTCTCTCCAATCATCGTCTCTCATCCAAGTTCTCATAGCCTTGTTCAAATCAAAAAACGTGTTACACTCTTATCGAATATAACTTTGATCGTGCTGGATTATTTCTATTTTGGGGGGAGGGGGGGCTTTGGGGCTGCGCTGAGCAATCGTGATTAAAGAAAAAAAGACTTACCTCGTAAATCTTTTACACGTTTTCAAAGAATAGAGCAATCCATGTTTTTTTTTCTCCATTTGTTAAAACGATTGGGAAACACTTTGCAGTTTGAGCTATTAAATACATGAAAAATAGATGATGCATAACATACAGCTCAATATTTACTAAAGTTAATAAGGTGCGCAGCTACAAATTAAACCCTCCCTGAGCAGGACATTGCAAGGTTAATACATCTATCTGCCGCATGCTTTTCTCATTTATTTCCTTCCAAATTAAATTAAACTTTCGCTTGATCGATACCCCGTTTCGCTTTCACAAAGTTTAAATCGCACGGCTTAAAAATACATTTCCAAATTCATGGAATTTCCCCCCATTTTCCTGCCGAGATCGATTAGAAATGTGGATCACATCCGTGGTTCTGCATTGCGCTTTCCCGTCGTGTTGAATGCACAGAAGCCAGCCCAGACTTGGGGCTTTCAAAATATATCATATGCCACGCTGGAATATGTATTTTGAACATCTTTCCTACCGTACGTAGCCAACCGTGCTAATCCGAGGTTCGGGGGCGTGCAAGGACAAACTAAGCACAAAACGCAGTTCTAAAGAAATTAGTTTTTCATTGAGATTTAAAAGTGTGTAACTCCCAGTGGCTTCCGAATATCGGAAGGAAGAACGTTCCAGACGGCCGCAGAAGCGTGCGATGCAGTGACCGTCTTTGTTCGATTGTTCGATGGCTAGTCAGAAGTCGCCACTGCGAGAATGAGCGGAGTTCGCGTGATGGTTTTAACTCGTTGATGAGATCAGCAAGATATTGTGGTTCATTTGTGGCAAGCACTTTGTGTGTCATGAGTTCGACCTCAGAATGTATTCGTTCGGCAACCGGTGGCCATTGATTAACCTCCTCCTCGGGATGGATTTTGGATTTGTTTTTAAACTTAGAATGTTGGATGTTTTTTAATTTAAATGAGAATTGCAGGTTCTCTTTCAGATGGTTTAAATGATGTAATAACACGACTCATCTTTGTGCTAACGAAAATGACATCACCCGATGTCACGTGAAAAACACTTTTGGTGGCAAAAATCATGGAAATGACATGACATGCGACATCATATCATACCTTTTGACCAATGTGAAACAAAAAAAATGGTTTTAGGATCATCCAAAAATATGATAGCTAGGACTAATTTTCAGATATTTCAAATTTGCCCAAAATCGGGAACACATAGTTACAACCTACATAATTCTAAGAAGACCAGACGTGATAATATTATTAATTGACCCACTGTATCCCATGAAAATTATTTTATAAAGGAACTTATATTCGTATTCATCAATTAAAAGGAACACGGGTAGAACAGAAGAGATGTGGCCATGGAACACACTGTCGCAAAAGAGATGACTTTAAAGCGTTACTCAACTCCAGTTCACTCAGCAAAAGCTTCATCACTGCGACTTTACAATCTACAACGCGTATGATGCAAACGCCCTCGGCTACACTAATCAAAAGAGCTAGGAAATGTTGATGTATCATCCGAGCTCATTTAATTGGCAATAGCCGATTAGAAACTTGAAGATTGTGTTTGTCACTTCATAATTATTTTGCCAGTAAATGTAATATATGTTTGTTTTTTTAGCAACGATAAATCACAATGACGGCATTAGCCAAAACGGATAAGGGCACGATTGTTTGATGTTATATATCGTAACGCGATATATAAAATCGTAGTATCTCCATGCTTAGGTGAGAGCAGCCAAAGATCCGCACAACTGGGGGTCACAAATCCAATTGCCGCGTCGCCATCGGCTGCCCCATCTTGTATTTGGATTCTCAACCAACGTCGGTTTAGGTCGAGGTACACCGATTGTTGTATTGCATAGGTCGACGTTGATCAATTTCTCTTGTAGCCCCGCCCACCACCCCCACGTTCCATTCCCTGGTTACCACATTCAGATAAGCCCTCCCTCCTTAACTTGTATTTAAGGGCTGGTCTTTTGGAATGTTCCTCACTTGATGCAGTAATTTTAGCTGTGACGGTCCCACCTGATGACGGAGACTTGTGTTGCCTCCGAAACGTCGTTATTTATTATTTTATTTTATTTTCATTTTTACTTTTGTTAACTTTTAATTTTTTTTTTACCTACGTGACTTTACCGAAAAAAACCTAAGAGTATGAATCGTTGCAGTCACGAAAGCTTCAAACCTAGAATCTTGATCATAATCAGTATTGACACTGGAGGAATCCGATGGGCTATAAAGCTCTTTTTCACAAATCTCCGGCGCAGCAAGTCAAGCACAGGACCCACCCAAACCTTGCCCGCAGAGAGCTTGATTATCACTGTACACCTCCATACCCCTTATTAAAACATTTATTGGAAATAAGTAGGGGAAAAAAAACGTTTTCCCTGCAGACCAATTATTGGCTTCGTAACTCAGCCCATCCAGACAAATGTATTTGAAATGCGCGTCAAAATTAACCAGTAGCTTACCCACCCCACCTCGCCCCCCACCACCACCGTCAATCTTTACCATTTCAATTCTTACCCCACGTGCATCTCAGCTGATTGCTTTCCAATTATGGACTCCTTTAAAGACCAAAAAAAAGCACCCAAGACAGGGCATTCTGACACTTGCGTAATTCAAACACTTCTTAATTCCATCGCTGCCTTCATATTCAATTATCTGAAGTGGGGGAAGCTGCGGGTGCAGAGGGAGGACTGCGGGGAGAGAGGGCACGGTTTTCGTGTCTGTAATCGAAGCGGACAGACGACGGTGGCTTTCCCTACCTCCGTGTCCGTGAACCGCCCCCAAAATTTCCGTCGTGTTCTTCCCCTCGCTAGCGGTGAAGGACCGTGTGTGGTTCTTTGTTTTTTGCTTCATAATCGGCCCCACATGAGCACTTTTCGGCGCAAAGTGCAATGCGCGTTGCGGGAAATAGAATCGCCGACGGGCACAACGCGCGCGCGCGTGTGTGTACGTGCTCACAACAACGAGCGGAGCGCCGGGTGAATAAAACACGGCAAGTTGGCACGGTAGGGGACACAGGTGGTGCATCGGCCAGCCATCTCAGTGAGTCGATCCCTGGCGCCTGGGTCTGCCCCGTCATTTCCTCCTGCCAGCGGGCGTTCGACACTTCACGTGGCCTCAATGTGCACGTAGCCTGGCACAGGCGCCGTGGTGACGTCA